TTCTTGTTAAGTGCTTGGTGTTTGCAACTAGATTTTGTGAATACAATCTCGTTTTCTTTATGAACCGCAGCCCATTTTTACGCAAACATAAAGAAAAATAATTATTTCTTAAAAAAGTAATTTGTAAGAAGGCAAGCACACAATTGTTATTATAACATAGAAATGAACTATTGCTCAAATTGGTATGTGTCGAAAAAAATCGTGAAAATCATGTCCAGTTGAAAATTTATTGAATAAATCCCAAATTTGTTAGTTATTGTTTCCTGCACAATCTATGAACTTCGTAAATTTGGTAACTTTTTAATAATTATTATAAAAGTCTATTATTCATTATATTCCTTTTTTTTAAACGTATATATACGTATCTAAAAATATTAAGTGAACCTCTGAATTTCAGTGAGCGAAATTGAAAGAGACTAGAAATTGGCACAATTTAGCTATTAATATTGACTTCTTTGGCATATGGCTACACTTCTTTAAATTTCAGTTACGCGGAAAAATCAGATTTGCCAGGAAAGAACATTTCCAGGGGAAGATGGTGACTTATAAATTGCGACTAGGACGACCGTAACCCTCCTAACAGCTTGTTACGACCTAATAAAAAATAAATCTTAAGATAATTTTCAATCTAGTCTCCGATCGCTCTTCTTCCGTCCAACTAACCAGGCAGTTATGCATTTAAACTATCACCGTTTACATTATCCCTCTTACTTTGTAACCTATATCTACGTAAAAGTTTCAGGTCACTCGATCCTGTTCCTTATATTCTCTTTGCAAAGAAACGATCCCTCGAATTTTTTTCGTACATGTCATTGAAACACATTCAAGGGGAAATTAATCTTTCATGTAGTGACGAAAAATATTAATATTAACAACATGAAATTTTATTGGATTGTAACGTATGAAATTGTAACATTGGTTTAAAATGATAACAATAGAGTTATAATACTCTTAATTCTCTGATTGTAGAAATACTAAAATCAAGATTTTTGTAACCCTGAAAAAGGAAAGAAATGTTTATTTGAAAAAGTCAGGAGTGAGTCTTTCTATTCAAGGTCGATAGTCAAACGTGTGAGTAAAATGAACAGAAATGTTATATGTTACCATGCGATAAAATAAAATTCATAAAATCCCAAAATATGTTTCAGCTTTAATACAGAATATTCACGAACTATTATTTCTCCAAAACACAAAATGAATATTTTATCATTTAACAATAAAACTACGCATTTTTCAACTGAACAATTGCAAAACCAATAGGCCAGGGACGTCGGAAAAACGGTTGCGTTCTCAATTAAGAGAAACTATTCAGAAATTGTTAGGCCAAGGACATCCCTTGTGTAGCTGCTCTCTTGATCAAGACAAATGACCCGCGAATGCAAAGTCGATGTGTCGCTACCAAAGGCCACCATTTTCAATCAACCAGAATTGTTTCCAAATTGCTGTACCAAACTCGCCGTCAAGTGCCTCTTGTGTCGTAACTAACAAAACTTATATCCGAGTTAGTATTCAGAAAACTCGGTTTCATTCTCGATAAAGAAAAATTATTTCCGTGTCGCTAAGCCGCACTCGTTTCGGAGGGGCCATTTTTTCGACCACCGGAAGATTATCCTGAAAATGGCGCGATTAAGTTTACAACGGTCAATTTTCTCGTCGGCCGAAGAAATCGCTAGTCACTTCCATTTCGCGCCATTTTTCCCCGTAGACAATGACGTCCCCAGCAACAAGACTTCGATCAATTCGCCAGGGACTTCCGTCGACGGAGTTACGTGGTTACGATCGCTGTTTACATTTCCTCCGCGAGTCACGCCGCCCCTCGTGAACGCTACGAACAACAAACGGCACTCGATTACCGCACGACATCCGGCTGCTTCGTGGCATCAAACGTTGTAATTGCCGCTCGGACGTTCTCGTGACGACATTGATTCGTGCGACGGTGACATGCCCCGACGACGACGACAACGGTGATGTCGGTCGGGTTATGCACACACACACACACGGTTCGAACGCCACGCGAGCCACGCTTGTAAAATGGCCCCGCCTCGCAAGGGAACACCGCGAACGCTGACTCGCGGATTGGAATGAAAGTACGTGGGTTTATAAAGTGATTCGAGACAAGAATAACGGTGTGTTTCACTCGTGCTCAATCACCCTTTACGGGTGTGAAAACTAACCTCGAACTCAAATAGGCACTGTCACTTTTTCGCGTGTAACTATTGAAGCACAAGAGATGGAGGAAATGTTTCAAACGAAAGTTTAATGACACAATAAACGCTATAAACTTGCGTTAGAAAAATGTTGAAACAAGGTTTTAATTCTTGAAAAGGAATTTTTAAAACCTTTTTTATAGTAAGTTTTAATTCTTATAGAAATTTTAATAAACCAACAAAGTTTCATTTTGACCCGCGAATCACCGTTCGCAATGTTCCTTTGACAGTGGCGGATCCAGGAGCCTTCCTTAGTGGGGAGTGAGGGTGAATTCAGGAGCGTTTCTTGGGGAGTCCAAATGTGTAAAAGTACATAAGTACATTTTTTTAAATCATCTTTTGCAAGTATAAGTGACATAATATTTTTACATTTTATTATTCTTGGGGGGAATAGCCCTTATCGCCCTCTTTGGATCCGCCACTGCCGCGTCTTCTGGAACCGTCGAAGTGTACTCACGGCAATTGTCTTTCGCCTGTAATCTCGTGAATATCTGACGTGGAGAAACAAAGTGGCAGCGCAGGAACGTTTTCAGACAGTTGCCTTTTTAGTGGTTCTTGAGGAAAAGGGATTAAATGAATTGTAGAATACCACGTGAATAATGCGTACGGGAAAAAAAGATGGCAGTATCCGAACGTTTTCGGAGAGTTACTTTTTTTTAATCATTTTCGGGGAAAAAGGATTTAATACATTATACAGGCCGAGTCAATAAAAATTACCAGCAGCAATGGAGAATAACTGTACTGCACACTTTCAATGATTCTGTTTAAAGTACGTGTTCGAAGTCGTGGCCGTTTATATTCTCGACATTTGATATTCTAGTTACTATTTTGATATTCGAAACGCGTGTTTTTTCACGCTTAACTTTATCCGCGATAACACTATTTCGCTCCCAACGACTGTAAAAAGCTATCTGCCTTCAGTTTATATTACTTTAAACGGAATAATTGGACATAATTAATGTAATTACATTCCACGACTTTTCGTTTCATTTCGAGGTTCAAGGTAACCTGAAAGTCACCTTATTATAGGTCATTGAATTCGTCTCATTAGCGACTAGAAAGAACTACCAAAACATATACGATGTTCTTTAAAAAAATCAAATCACCTTGATATCTCAGAAAATATAAAATATTAAAAAATCAAACTGTATTATATCAACTGTAATACCCCGAATACAATAAATTTAATTTCTAACATTTTTTTATGAAGTCTATAGATAACGAGTTATTTATTTCGGTTGATAATTTTTATTCACTCACCCTGTATAATGTCGCATTAATAACTCGCGCGTAACAACAAAATAGCAATGCATGAACATTTATGGGTTATTAACGTTTTAATCACTTTCCAGGAAAAAGGATTAAATGAATTATAAAATCCCGCGGGAATACCTGACACGAGGAAAGAATATTGCGTGGCGCCAATGTTTTAGAACAGTTGCCTTTTTAGCTACTTTCTGGAAAATGGGATCAGATAAATTTTAGACAACGAAGAAGTGAAGTTTGATAACGACGAAGGATAAAAATGAGGTCAAGAAACGTGTCTTGAGTTTATGAAGGTACTCTGAAGGTTAATGTATTACTGAACGTTCCTTCCGAGAAAAAGCTAAAAGGGCGACTAACGGGAAACTTTCACGTCGTATTGTAATTTTGTAAAAAAAGAAGAGGTAACCGATTATTGACAATACTTCCTGTGTTATTTTATGTAGATTGTGCGATCTAGAAAATGACGACAATAATCAGCTTCTGGGTCTACTTTAAGGACAAAGATGAGTGCATAAATTTCGAATAATGCTTCCGGCTTTTGTTTTTTCATTCAAGTTTTTACGTATACATTTCAAGACCTTATTTCTTAACTAAATTGAACTTTGTACGGTTCAATTGTACGTTTAGGACAAAGAGAACTAAAATTGCGAATCGCTGTATCGGAAAAGATAAATATACATAATAGAAATAATTAGTTACAAATGTAAGTATTTCGAGTACAAATCCTTTTTCAATCTGTCTAAACTAATGATGACAATCAGTAGCTGAAACCTGAAAACAGGAAGAATCTCTCCCTTGCTAAAAAACAGAAGACTCCAGAAAATATTTCCATGAGCTTGTTAATTTCCTCTTCAAAATCAATTCATAAACATTTTCTTGTCGAGTCCTCCCAATTCTCAAAACAACTTTACACAATTCCAATTCACGTTCGAACACACAGAGCTCGCGTTAAACCCAACTTCTGCTCGAGTGTAGGCTCGCCTTAACACTTTGTCTGCCACGTCACCCAAACATGAGTGACACATACATTGCAAGGAGGCTAGACTATTCAAATACCGTTACGAACTTTTTGCGTAAACTTAATACTCAGTATAATTAAAAACAAGCCCCAGTATAATATTAAACATCCTTCATTAATTAAACGCACATATTTCCAACGATCTATGACTGAAAAAAAAAGAATGTGTGTCTGGTTACGTACGGCTGTTTTCACTGTGGCAGTCAACGTGTTAAAGATCTCTAACCGTAACAGGAACAAATAATGTCCGCCGCAAATCAGATTCAACTAAAGCACACCCGACGGCGCGGAACATCTTGCGGTCACGCAATGAATCAAGGGAAGAAAGTCAGCCCCGAGACGAGGGACACGATTTGCAAACTTACGGTTCTCGTACGATGATCTATTCCGTGTACACGAAGGAATCTTTTAAACTCGACGGATCGTTCCCTGTTTTCTGTATCTATATTGTAAACGTATGTATTCTGCTCCTTGCACAGTGCTAGACGTGTCGGTTTGTACATGTGTGTGTGTCTGTGTTTGTGTTTTTGTGTGTGTGTGTGTGTGTGTTCTATCGAAAGGGGTAGGTTCGGTTCGTGAGTTATAGAGGTGTGTGCGATGGTTTCGAGATGGGGGAATGGTCGGAGATGGAAACGGCCGTGGGCCAGGATAACTGGAACAGAGTGGGTTAGGCCTAGAAGTCGGACTGCGACGTGGCCAGGGCACTCTCGGCCGTTTCCTCGCGTCGTCATAAGGGCCTCGTCACTTCACCACACTCGCAGTACATCGGGTGACCTCGACGATCCACGCGATTGCTTATCGAGTGATCGCTGAAACAGAAAAAAAAAAGAGATATTGTATAGTTTAATTATCTGCTGCAGCGATTTCATACATATTCTGTCTGTGACCTTTGAAAAGGTTGTATTATTAGATTGGTCGAAAATAAATGGTACATCGATTCTATATTGATCGAAGCATTGTTCACAGCGATTCTATTTAATTGTATTGGTTGTTGCACATAAAATGATCGTTTTATTATTGCCACTTAATATCATATTGAACATTAAACAACCTTAATTGGATAAAGTACGATTAAATAGACTCTATACACGTTTTTCATTGAAATACAGGTCTTACATTCATATTATATTCATTGCAGAATAACATTTTTCATTGAAATGCAGATGTTATATTCATTGCTAATCTCTCTTCGATGGTAGGGCGAATACTTATGAGCGACGATATTATTCGAACCAGCTTGACAGACAATTTAGCACCAATCTCATATAGATTCGAGGCAATAAAATATTAACAACCGTTCAGAACACGACTGGCACACTGGACACCGCACCAAGACCTTTTTCCCGAGGTCCCGGAAAGATTAAATTCCCAGAACAATGCCGTCCACTCGTACGAAATGCAAATAATCCTCCTCACCGTTGACAGTCACGTCTCATAAAAGACCACGGGCGAACAATACGTTAGACTCTCCTTCAGACTCATACTTCAAAAGGGATCAATTTCCACGAACAATACCTCCGCGAAACGGGAATAATTTTCTATGCCCGCCATCCTGTGGATAGTCCCGACGTTGCTCACAATGGCCAACATAGCCGGGGATCGTCGCTGAAATTAACTTTCGCTCGCAGTCTCGGCTCACAGCCGGCCTCCCCCTGGAATCTCTGTCAATCCATTCATCCGGCTCAAAAATGCTTTAACCCAAATTCCGTGGATTGGTCCTCCTGATTACACCCTCCTCCCTCCCACCAAAGGACAAAGAATAGAGAGATTCGCCAAACCTCGCGGCCACAAAAAGGTCCATTGTCAGATCGAGGGGCGGACCGTCACGTGTGGAGACTTCCCTTGGAATCAGTGATGAAACCTGGTTGAATATGTGCTCGCGAATATCAAAAATTCATTTCATTGAGTTCGGTTTCATTGAATATTCATTTTCTGTTCTGAAAAGGTACTCGATGCCATTCAGACGCTTTTGAAACTTTTAATAGAAAGATCGGAAGTACGAAATTGTACTCGTAAATACTTCGAACTTCGCGAATATCGAATTTTATGGAGTATTCGAATTTTATGCAGTATATCCTATCAAAGTACTCACAGAACGTTGTTACTTATTGTGTCTTGCTTAAACATGTATAATAGTACTTCAAGATTTATTTTACATAATTGCGATGGATACAAGTGCATCTGAAATATTTAAATGAAATATAATCATTTGAATTATTCATTGAAACAATAACTTTAGAAAAAGTATGGAAATAACATTTTCATAAAGTATCAGAAATAATAATTAAACACATCTAGTAACAAGAAAATTAGTTATTTCAACTTTCATAATTCAAACACTTATTATAAATTTATAAACTCAAGTGAATGATTCAAATAATATTTCAATCGATATACAGATCATCCTTTCACATTCACAATTCTAATCTCCGATGCAATACCTAACTAATCACGTATTAATTAATACACTAATACTATTGCCTATTTATTACACAACTGGTTGTTTTGCATTCTCATGTAAGAAAACTTCGAAATAAACAAGCATCTCTTTCAGCAACTGTCCAATAAAAATAAAATATTCTAAAAATATTCATTGGGTTCTCCAGACTCCACCTTAACGATCTCTAACCCCACCGATACAGTACCTCCTGTAACTATTTTCATTTTCCACTAAAAAATACATTTGCATCCAGAACTAATGGTAAATACTGTTCTTGTACTTCGATATACTAATGCAGGATTCAAACAGACGTCCGTCAGCTTTCAATACCATTCACAATGTACCCGGTTCCGCCACTACCAAGATTTGCTGCACTACTGTTATACAAAGAGAATCTTTCGTCGATCCGTAGGTCCTAAGAATATTGCATATTCATATCTGAATGTTTCATCGCGATAAGACGTTCAATGGACGCATTTGTGCGCGGCGGATGTGCACGCCGCGGTGGCGTTTTATAATGCCACGGAGAAATTATTGCGAAAAGGACGGCGCAGCGTAGACAGAGGAGATGGAGTAGGAGGAGGCCGGGAGAAACCGGGAGGTCTGGCAGAAATTCACTGGGGGCAACTGTATCAAAAAGAAATTCTGAATATGATGTTACCATGACCTACATCGATGATGCCCCCACTCCCCGGTGAAAAGAACAGCGAATACAGGCCGGGCCATTGTTAGCGGGGTTGGAGACCGATCGTATCAGGACGATGCAACGAAGCTCGCCCAGTAGTTACGACCTGATAATGGTCAGACAACGCGGACTCTAGTGTTGCGTGCCGGGCATCGTTGTAGAACACGATGGAATTTTTAAGTTATTTACTTGTCCCTTGTCCGCACACACTCGGTAATGATTTCTGAGGAAATTGTTCACGGAGCTTCTACAATATTTCCATTACGGTTTTCGTTTCTATCAAGGTCCCGACAGCCCCGTAACTTTCAATCGTGTATATTATCTGATCTAAATCAGGTGGAATTAACGAATGTTATTGTGTAAGACACTACTGATTGATTCAATGGATAAATGAAGCTTAATCCTTGATTTGTAAGGTGAGGTCTGGAGAATCCCTTAGATATTTTTAGAATATTTTATTTTTATTGCACAGTTGCTGAGAGAGATGCTTGTTTATTTCGAAATTTTTTTCTATGAGGATGCAAAATAACCAGTTGTGTAATAAATAGATAATAGTATTTGTGTAGTAATTAGTAAGTAATGAGGTTTCCACCTTCTTAATTATGTGTGGTGAATTAACCATTAGAATGCTCACTTGAATTTTCCCCAATTAGCAGGTTAGAAATGAATTCGTTTGATGAATACGTCACATTTTCAGACCCTTTCACGATGCATCATCAACTTCACCAGCCGATCAGTGTGATTGTAGGCTGTACGTTCGAAACTTTCGTCATAGTTCGCTCCAACTAGACATTCAGAAAGAAACGTTTTAAAGCGGCAAGTAGTATGAGGTCGACCGTATACGGCCAGTAGTCACGGGTGTTTATGATCAGACCGCGCATACACCTCGACACCATTAAATCGATAACGAGGGTCATGGCCATGTCAATTCCCTCTACATATATCTCTTACTGAATCGTGTAAATTTTCTATCGAGATTTACTGTAACCGTGACAGTTATCGGGCTTAAACAGCGATATCGATAATCATGTTAGTTCGATCCGATCTATAGACCGAATATTGCTTCGTATACTGCGTCAATTATTCCGTATTATTGAAATTTATATATTATAAATCTCCGATACGATGGCGGTCGATGGGGAGATGGAAATTGCGGCACTCGGCGCTCACCGTGGAAATCCAGCATGACCTATTAATGGTTAATAATCGATCTGCTTGAACAGAAATTCCATTAGCGACGAGATGCGGATGCAATTTTAGTGGTGCATTCAAGCGACCGTACTGTTAATTTAAATTTTTACTGCGCTTTTTTTATATCGAAACCCGCCCCGAATAAATTGTTCTAACAGATACACGATTTTATAGGTTTTATAAAAATTGTGATTTTTATTTTCTAGTCTCTTTGCCGGGGTATATTCTCAGAGACAATTTTAAAAACACTAGGACCAGAACTATGTTTATATCGACAATTCTAAAGGTCCATAAACAAGAAATATTGTAACAAAAAAATCTCTCTTAATTTTTATCAAATATCCTCTTTTCATTGAATTTTACATATTTAAATGCAAGTGCAAAGAATCGTGGGACGAATAATTATACATCACTTAGACGTGTCATTTCTTATTTACAGCTTGGATATTTAAGAATTTTCAACACCCTTCTGTAAAATTTAAGATATGTCTCATCATCCAATTAAACACTTTCCTTCCCCTACCAATGACATACATTATTTTTCATATTCAAACTTATAATACTCACTATCAATGCACAAGATACTCCATTATTTGGGTGTCAACCAGAACATTGAAATTAATATCTTTCTTTTTGTTTCAGTGTTCTCATCCCAACGAGACGCTTTGTATACACATAACTTTCAGCTAAGTTTACACAAATGAACCCTTGTGTAGGCAACCGGATTCCCGGATACCTAGACACCCATTTCTAAATTTCTTTTCACAATTTTTTATATTCTCGTCTAAAACAACACTTGGTATATTATAGGAAGGAAAAACGACTAAGGGTTTCAGAAAAGTATGAAAGTAAAATTATCTATGTTTATCTAATCTGTCAGTATAGGAGTATTCCGATTACTCAAGAACCGTGAATATTTTGGTTGCCCATGCAAGGGTAAAAATGACTAAAAAATGAAAATTTAACGTCATACGACGTTATCATTTCTAATGAATGATAATTCATATTAATTGTACAAGCATTACATGAGAGATTGCGTCCAATTCATTTCACTTTGCAAGAAGCATCTATTAAAATGTCAATTCCCCTAACCAGAATTTCCATTTAACGCTAAATATGCGGCGCAATCGACTGATCTTGCCACGTTATGTTTTTACAGGGTTCTGCAAATGAAATTATTGGCACGCGTGCAACAATATATCGACGGGAACCATTATTCCAGCAGTCACGACACCACCGCTGTGAAACGAATCGTTCGTGACTGTCGCGAGACCGAAGAGATCGATCACGGAATAATTACGCTCGTTTCCACTCGGCTTGCAGTTACGTGTCAACATTATTATATCGGTAGATCGACGGTCGTATATTGATTTGTAGAAAAGCACGGTCGAGCCAGTTTGTCATAACTTCGAGGGAAAATGACACACGCATGGCATTCTTGGAATTGTGCACGACAAAACTAGTAATCATTCTTCTGCAGGATTATCAAATTA